AATGAAACATGCTCAACAATGAACCTTAATGTTTGTATTTCAATTACAGCTTGGAATCAGCTTTGAATTTGATGTTTCAAATCTGAAGTACACAGATCTTTGTTTTTGCTACTTGGATTTGTGTTATGAGGGGGCACAAAAGGGGGCGGGTTAATAAAAAGTAGATTTCGACGTGGTCTATGCTTTAACAGTTACGATCCTGCAGTTACTAGGCAGGATTCTTCACTTAACGGAGTCTTAACAATTCAAATAGTTTTCCCCCTCCCACAAATTTAGTAAGAGTTTCCTTAAACTCAAAGATTGCTTTCTAACCTAAATCAATTTCTATATTATTATACCCTACAGATAACCAAACCAAAGACTTAAAAATTCAGTTTCCAGGGATATAAGAGCCACTTAGTGATACAAAGACCCCCAAAGTGCCCATAATTGTATCATTCGAGATATTATGTAAGAAGGTTATATATGATAGAACATTTGATACAAACAAACAGATGGCTTCCAGCCAACTTAAATTGGAGGATGAAAGTGACCCTACCCTCTCCAGCACTATTTGCTACTGAACAGTAGTTTAAAAACAATACTTGATATTTTAGCATACTCACTTTAGTAGACAGAGTAAAATTTTAGGAGACAAATGATTTTGATAATTATAAAAATAACTTCTCAATTTTAAAATGCAAATAATTACAAAGCACATTAGTCTTTTGTATGCATGACGATAACATATACCCTTAAAATTACCTTCAATTTCTACTTCAATTTCTTGTAGATAAACATCTTCATACTATATCTATAGGGGGGGCTACCTCCCATAAATCATAACTGTTATGGTGACAAAGAATTTACTTCTCTTAATATATCCAAATATAAAAGTAGCTATCCCCAAGATAAGCAAAGGCTAGCCAAGTCTATATACGCTATCCTTCATTTCCCCAAATTTCAATTAATGGTAAGGAGACTAATCCAGCAGAACCAGTTATCAGTGGTATTAGTTACCAGAACTATCAAAAGAAGAAGAAAGAGAAGCCTGTTACCTGAACGCTGGACCAAGGATGAACAACAGAAAACAAGCTCATACAACTTGCCTGTTTTTTATCAAACTGATTGTAACTCATGAGCTGCTATATCTGAGGCAGAACTGTCTGAGTTTATAGTTTTCTATGCCTGCCAAAAACAGATGCAGACTACCACACTAGCTGTCCCGCGGAAACTAAATTAAGCAGAGGCAAATACCAAGTGGAAAGTTGTCAGTGAGTTGAATGAATGGCTTCATTTTACACACCAGAGAATATCTTCATGAGAATATGTTTTAATGGAAGCCAGTCATTTTATTTTAAGTTCATCGCTTATTACAAAAATAATAATTTCCCTTGAAATCAATTACGGACACCTGTCCATAACTTTATGAAAGTTTACTTTGCTTTATGCACAATAGCATAGTATTATGATGTTTTTCCCTGCTATCAGAGTATTGAAGTAAAATAGTAATTACTATGGAAAATATTGGAAATCCAGTTATCAATACTGATTCCAATTCCAAACAAAAAAAGTTCAAGTTTAAAAACTGTTGCAAGTCCTTTTAAATTTTTCAGTAATGTTTATTTACTTCAACAAAGATGTTATAAGTGTTAACTGAAACCTAACCCATTTTGGCTTATTTCTTAATAGGAAATGCATGTATTATTAAAAGTAAATTGTGGTTTCTATCTGTACATGTAAACATACACACCTAATAATAATAAAAGCAACAATAATAGAAGAGGTATTGTCAAAATACTAGGATCTTAAAAGCAGATTCCCACATATGCATTCATTTCCCTGTTTGGAAGGTTTTCTCATGAATGAAGATTTCCTATGTGTCATAGAAGGACATATACCAAAAACCAGGATAAATTCATCAGTGTTACAAGACTTAAAAGCAAAGTAAATGTAATGCCAAAAATTCAGTAAGGGCATATGTACCTCACTGATAGATAGTCAATGCACATTGATTTGGATGATAAAATGCTTTTTAAACAAGTATATAAAAATTTGTATAAAATTGGTTGTCAAATGCCGAGCTCTAAATTCAACTCAGACCTTACAACTACTCTGGCACTTTCTTCCTTATCTTTAAAGTCACCTTTAAGAAAAGAAAAAATCTCCCTAACAGCAGAAACCCTTAACCACATCTAAAATTCAAGAGTGACAAGCTTTTTGCCAGGCACTTCCAATATTTTACCATTTATTTGGAGACTGTCAGACTTAGTTATTATGTGTGTATAAGTATTCTACACATACACATCCTAACATCCATCAGGCATATCAGGAAGGCATCAACATCAGCTCCCCGAAGGTAAATAATACTTGGCCAAGAGAGTACTGATGAAGCTTCACAATTCCTTACATTTAGAACAATCAAGTCTGAAAGCTGGCATTATCACTTTATTTCCTCCTCGGTAGTTCTATTTTCACAGTATAAATATCCAGAAATAAACATCAGGCCAGTACATTAATGGCGCTGTCTATTTAAATGACTGGAGATGTTTTCATCCAAGGGTAAGGAAGTTGGGAAATCTACCGAAGGACAAATGCAATGAACGTGTATGTTTAACTTGTTAAGGTTGAGAATGCCATTAATAAACTTTCACTTAAAGGTTTTTTAAAAAAAATCCTCAGAATGTTCGTATCATCTCCAGACTGTCCTGTCAGCATCAAAACTTACAGGAAACACTTCATCTTCCCATAGGAACCCTGTATTTATTCACAACCCTGGCATACTTGGGGGAGGAAAAGAGAAAGAAAAAAAAAGGCTGCATGATGATTATTTTAGATCCTCTGCTTTTCTGCACTGACTGGTGGAATAAACTGGGAGAGCCTCATGAGCAAATGAACAACAGCATGTAGGAAACTGCCCAGCAATGAGTTCAGAAACTTTCATTCTCATTTTGCCCACGTCAAGGACCTGCTGCCCACAGAACTTTCCTGACTGTCTGGGAGCCTTTTCTAAATGATCAACTCATCCTAAGTCCAGTAGGAAGGTATCAGGATGCCAGAGAAATCCATAGGTTTGAGCTTCCCAGATGGAGGGCTCTGAAGACTTATTGGAAGATATATATAATATATATGTATATTTTTTTCCTTTGAGCAGTCAAATTTAGCCAACAATCAGGCCTAGAATGATCATTTCTTTGTAATCTTGTCTCAGGCCCTTATCTATATTTTTGCCTTTGTACTGATTATCTGTCCCAGGCCTTTTCCTGTTCACCTGGAAGCTTTACAAAAGTTCAATGAATCGGCCTAACTAGTCTCTGATTTAACTTCTCAGATCGGCCTCTCTCTTCACTTACCTTGCTTAAAACTCTAGCGGTGATTTTCCAAAACAGGATAAGGATGAATATTCTATCTTAGGTTTGATTCATCATTAAGATCCATCGCTCTTACTCAAAAACTTTTAAAGTATCAGGTCTGAGGCCTACAAAAATATGGGGAAGTAAGGTAGGTCCTAAAATTAGGAAATAAGGTAGGTCCTTACTAAAATTTAATAAGTCCAAGATTCTCTCTGAAGCCCCAATATGCCTTTCTAGTCCTTCAATGACTTTAGAGTCCTAAGGCCATAAAACCAAGTGACTTCCCTGGTGAAAGGGGAAACACCACCATCTCAGCCAGGTACACACACAAAAAAGCTTTCCCAGCCACAAAAACAGCTTTGCACTTCAAAAGCCTCCCACTTCTGCCTCACCCTCAAATTATTCATGGGGTCCTAAAATCCTAGACTTAATAATAGAAAGACCGACGTGTTTGCCTTGGCCTTTCAAAGATGCGTTTCAGACTCTAGAGCCCAAACAGGAACTAGACAGAAAGCAAAGAGCCTGTCCTGTCTGCCTGCATGTCCCACCGCTGTCAGGCATTTAATCACTGGCCAGTGTCCCCTGACCCGTAGGACACATGGCGCATCCACCGAACCGCAGAGGAAGTCTGCCCCTTGCTTAGCCGCTACGGAAGCTCCCTGAACGCAAGGCCCTGCCACATGGTACGAACAGGGCATAGACCCCTGGCTCGGGCTGCCCTCAGCCACTCAGAGGCGGGTGCACCAGGAGATGCCACACTCTCCTCCTCCAGCCCAACTGGGCCTTTAAGGGAAAAAAGTTTGAAGCCTGGCTTTGCAAACTCTTCAAAGCCAAAGCCAGTTCTGGGCTGTTTTCCCACTTTGGGGGTCATTCCCAGGCCCCTCTCGGAGACCCTCCCGACCCTCACAAGTTTACCCAACTTACTACTCTGCATGCCGGTGCCTAGTCTGCTCCCCGCTTGTCAGGAGCCCCCAGAAAACTTGCAGCGGCGGCGGCTGCGGCCCCTCGGGTCCAGCCACCTCCAGCTCCTCCGCTGCGCCCGGTAGGAGAGAATTAAAATCAGCCAGCGAGAGACAGCGAGGGGGAGTGGGGCTGCGAGGGGGAGGGGGCACCGGCCTGAAACTTCTTTTTTTGGCAAATCGGGATTTGTTTTTCCTCCTCCCCGGCGGCTGAACTTGACCCTACTGACTCCGGGGGCTACTGCAGTTTGAAGTCGCTCTGGTTTCCTAGGCTCAGATGCCTGAGACCCAGCAAAAGGAGCAGAGGAACAGGGGGTGGAGGGTGTGGGGGGTGGAGAGAATAAGGGGAGCAGAAGAGAAGAAAGAAAGAAAGAAAGAAAGAAAGAAAGAAAGAAAGAAAGAAAGAAAGAAAGAAAGAAAGAAAGAAAGAAAGAAAGAAAGAAAGAAAGAAATCACACGCGCAAAGGAAAAAAAAAGGAAGAAAGAAAATGCGTGTGAAACCCGAGAAGCCTGCGCTTGGCTTGTGCACACTCTCTCCCTCCGCTGTGCTTTTTTTTTTTTTTTTTTTTCAAATTCACTTTTAATTCCCAGGGCTCCCCGCTCGCGATCGCCCACATTTTGCGCACAGTGGCGCGGGCGCAGCGCTGGCGGCACAGCACCCGGGCGGCAGTAGCCCGCGCCCCCCGGCCCTGCCGGGCCTCCCCCTTACCTGTTGATTAATCGTCGGGAACACCCTCGGCAGCCCGAAAGATGGTGGCGCGGCAGCCAGAGCCATGAACCGTCTTCTGTTGTTTGCTGAGTTGATCTTGGATTATTGGGGGGGGGGGAGAAAACGATCTTTTCTGCCGCCCCCCCTTTCCCTTCCCTCCCCCCCCCGAAAAAAAAAAGAGAGAGCGAGAGAGAAAGAGAAAGGAAATAGAGCAAGGATGTGCCCGGTGCGGGGTGGGAGAGGGGAGGGGGTTTTGTTGATTTTTGTTGTTGTTGCTTAAAAAATAAAAAAAATAAGCAAGGCGAGAGCGCGATCAGAGGACGCAAGGTCTGGAGCCGCCGAGCAGCACCGAAAAACAGGACGTTTGAGATGCAATGAGATCGGATCTTTATCAGAAATGTTATCGCTTGTCAGGACCTCACTCTCCGCGCATTACGTCAGTTTCAAGACACCAACACTATTAATATCAAAGGAGCCTTCGCGGAGGAAAGCACCACCCCAGACCGAGCTCCCTTAAAGAGACAGCGCGCGTCCCCGCGCCGCCGCCGCCGCTGCCCCGCCCGGTCCCGAGCACCCGCTGCCGCCGCCCGC